ATAACAAGAAGGATTTCTAGAAGTATGTCAACAAGAACTGGAAAATCAGGTAAAGTGTGGGTCCCTTACTGTATGGGGGAGACAACCTAGCAATAGATGAGGAGGAAAAGGCTGAAGTACTTAAATCCTTTTTTTTACCTCCATGTTCACAGGCAAGGTCAGTACCCAGACAAGTGAAAATGGCAGCACAGTTTGGGGGGAAGGCAAGTAGTCAACAGTCACAAAAAAAGGTTAAGGTCTAGTTAGAAAAGCTGGATGTGTACAAGTCCAAGGGGCTAGACGCAATGCACCTGAAGGCGCTGAGGGAGTTGGCTGATGTGATTGCAGAGCTGCTGGCCATTCTCTTGGAAAAATCATGGTGATTGGGAGAGGCCCAGGATGACTGGAAAATGTCAAAGATAGAGTCCATTTTTAAGAATGGGAAGAAGGAGGATCTGGGGAACTACAGATTAGTCAGCCACAAGTCAGTCCCTGGAAAAATCATGGAGCAAATCCTCAAGGAATCCATTTCTAAGCCCTTGGGGGAGAAGAAGGTGACTAGGAGAAGTCAGCATGGATTCACCAAGGGCAAGTCATGCCTGACCAACCTGATTGCCTTCTCCAATGAGATGACTGCTCTGTGGATGTGGGGAGAGTAGTGGAAGTGATATAGTTTGACTTTAGCAAGGTTTTTCATACAGTGTCCCACAATATTCTCACAAGGAAATACTAATTGGATGAGTGGGCTGTAAGGTGGATTCAAAATGAGCTGGATCATTGGGATCAAAAGGTAGTAATATAATGGCTCCATGTCCAGTTGGCAGCCAGTATCAAGTGGAGTGCGATGCTTTGTCTAGCCAGGTCTTAAAAATCTCCAAGAATGGAGATTCCACAACCTCTCTGGGCAGCTTATTCCAGCGCTTTACTACCTTCCTAATGAGAACATTTTTCCTAATATCTAAACTAAATTTTCCTTGCTGTAACTTGAGACCATTTCTACTTGTTTTGTTATCTGCCACCACTGAGAACAGTCCAGCTCCATCCTCTTTGGAACCACCCTGCAGGTAGTTGAAGGCTGCTATTAAATCCCCACTTAGTTGTCTCTTCTCCAGACTAAATAAGCCCAGTTCCTTCAGTCTTTCCTCATAAGTCATGTGCCCCAGCCCCCTCAACATTTTTTGCCCTCTGCTGGACTCTCTCCAGTTTGTCCACATCTTTTCTGTAGCGGGGGGCCCAAAACTGTACACAGGACTCCAGATGTAGCCTCATCAGTGCCGAATAGAGAGGAAGAATAACTTCCCTTGATCCACTGGCAACGCTCCTACCAATGCAGCCCGGTATGCCATTAGCCTTCTTCACAACAATGGCAGACCTCTGGGTCATATTCAGCTTATTTTTCACTGCAACCCCCAGATCCTTTTCTGCAGAGCTGCTTCTTAGCCAGTTGGTCCCCAGCCTGTACCGGTGCATGGGACTGTTCCACCCTAAGTGCAGGGTTTTTCACTTCTCTTTATTGAACTTTATGAGATTTCTTTTGGTCCAATCAGGCTAGACTTGGCCCAAGTTCTCTGCTCCAGCCAAGCAGGGAGGCATGCTCTAGGGCCCCCTCCAGCATCTGGCCTGAGCCACTGCAGGCATGTATCTACATTTCTGGAAACAAAAGGGAATGTCTCTTCACTTGTTTATTGGTTCAATCTACACAACTTAGACCCATAAAGATTGAAGATTGAATTGATTCAGCCTCAGGCTTTTTGACTGTCTGTCAAGAAGAGAAGACTGAGGAAGGATTTAATAGCAGCCTTCAACTACTTGAAGCATGGTTACAAAGAGGATGAAATGAGGCTGTTTTCTGTGGTGGCAGATGACAGAACAAGGAGCAATGTTCTCAAGTTGCAGCAAGGTAAGTCTAGGTTAGATAATAGGAAAAACTCTCTCACAAGGAGGGTAGTAAAGCAGTGGAGCAACATATCCAGAGATGTTGTGGAATTTCCATCCTTGGAGAATTTTGGGCCTGGCTAGACAAAGCCATGGCTGGGATGCTTTAGTTGGGGATGGCCCTGTTTTGAGCAGGGGGTTGGATAGATGGCTTCCTGAGGTCCCTTCCAACCCTACTTTTCTTTGATTCTATAAATCTGTGATTCTATGAATATCCAGATAGGCATCATGATTCCCAGAAGGGATGCAGAATACAAGGCACTTAAATGCCTGATCAAATTACTAGAAAACATCCTGGAGAGAACAATACTGCTTTCAGTATTTGATGAATGGACCTTTAATTTGATTGAAGTTGCAGTGTCATTGGAATTGGTTAGCAGCCAGCTCCTCCTAGATTTTGAAGTCAGTGCCCATTTTCTTGAGGTATGCCTTCAATGCGTCCTTGTAGTGCTTCCTCTGGCAAGATTTCATAGACATTAGGGGCTGGACAGGACCTTGTGAGATCATCAAGTCCAGCCCCCTTGCCATAGGCAGGGAGTCCACCAGTGTCAAATGATCCCAGCAAGATAAGCATCCAAACATTTTTTTTGAATGAGTCCAGAGTAGGGGCTTGCACCACCTCTGGGGGGAATCTGTTCCAGACCCTGGATACTTTAACTGTAAAGGAGTTTTTCCTTATGTCCAGTCTAAATCGGCCTTCCAGATGTTTGTGGCTGTTAGACCTTGTTATCCCTGGGGGGGCCCTGGTGAACAACTGTTCTCCCAGATCCTAGTGCACACCCCATATATACTTACAGGCTACCACCAAGTCGCCCCCTGAGCCTTCTCTTCTCCAGGCTGAAGAGTCCCATGTCCTTCACCCTCTCCTCGTCAGGCTTGCTCTCTTGGCCTTTGATCATGAGGGTGGCTCTCCTTTGGACTTTCTCAAGCTTATCCATGTCCCTCCTGAAGTGGGGGGTCCGAAACTGGATGCAGTACTCCAGCTGCGGCCTCACTAAGGCTGAGCAAAGAGGGAGGAGGATGTCCTTCGTTTTGCTTGAGATGTATCAGTGGATTCATGCCAGCACTGGTTTGCCTTGCCAGCTACAACATTGCATTGGTGGCTCACGTTCATCTTGTGGCCAATCAAGACCCCAAGTTTCTTTCAGTCATGGTGCTAGTGAACGTAGCACTGCTGAGCCTATAAGTATGATGCTGGTTTTTCCTCCCAACGTGGAGCACCCTGCACTTCTTTATGTTGAATGCTATCAGGTTTTGGTCCACCCACCTTGTGAGTCTGTCCAGATCTCAGGCTGCAACTAACCCCTGGAGTACAGCACTTGTTTTGGGAGTCAAGAGTATGCCACCTGCACATGATGTTGGTCCAGTGAAGTTGGTACTTGTGTATTACTGATGCAATACTGATAACACTGTCTTTAGCAAGGATACTGGCATTTGTGTGGTGATCTTTCCATTTGATGCAAAGGATTTCCTGGAGACATCGTTGGTGATACCTCTGCAGGCTCTTGAGATGACAATGGTAGGTCGCTGATGTTTCACTTAAAGGAGAGTGGGGGTGATGACTGTGTTGTTGACCTATCTTGGTGTATTTCCAGAAATCAATAAAGATATGCCAAAGCAATTTCCCAAAGGAAGTGACAGCACACCAGTTCCTGTGCTGGATCTCTTCATCCACCACTGCCAGAACTCCAATAAACCCATACCTGCTTGGTCATATTTCTCCACTTAGTTACATTTTAAGGACTATTAAGTGGAGGTTGTGTCACTAACATGTGCTTGTCCTGCTCTCACCATACCTGAACACATACTTGAGGTATGACAGAGCATTGAGGTGCTTGGACACTTTGGTAATTAGGTCATCCAGACCAGGCTGTAATATAGCTCTGCCCCTTCTTGGATAGATATCCTTTACAAATAACATGTGACAGAATAATGGTAACTAACACAATGGCTTCCATCTCTCACTCTCTCTTCCTTACAGCATCCCTCGGTAAAACTCAAAATACTAATGCAGAAAACTCTTCCTGTTCAGGGGTTCAGCTTAATCTTTTTAGTCTCTGAATCTTTTTAGTCTCTCTCTGCTTATTTTCCATTCTTCTACAGACCCACCAGGCTTGCCTCCATTTCAAGACCCCTCCACAGGAGTCAACACCACTCCTGAGGTTTGCCCACCATTCTTCTGCCTGGCTTTTATCCAGGTCATTCCATAAACAGAGGACTCTGTATCTTTTTCTCGTGTATCTCCACAATCCCGGTTTTTCCACCACTTATGTCCTCCTTGAGCTGAGTCAACTGCAGGTGTAATAAAACGGTGCTAACATACTTCTCAGACTCTCTCTCAGTCACTGCCTAGCACAGTGTTATGTCAAGTAAGAAACTAGAATTATATAGAAATCAAAGTGTCATCAAGGTGTCACCAAGTGAAACGCCTTATTGCAGGGGTGTTAAACTCACCGTTCTTCAGAGGCAGGATCTGTACCATGGGACTCCTTGTGGGCTGGATCTGGATGTGGCAGCAGTAGGGGACAAGCAACAGTGGCCCAGAGGTTAACACAGCTGTTGCTACCCTCTACTATTGTCACATGTCCCCAGCAGGGCTGCACACTTTGCCCCTGAATTACTGGCCCCTCTAAGAGTCTTGGCTGCTTCCAGACATGGAAAATAAGTAAAACCAGTGCTTTACTTTAAACTCAGCACACTTCTGCACTGAGCCCAATGCATGCCCAGAAGAAGCAGAGTGTTAGTTGCACGCGGTTTTCCCAAAGTCTGTAGAGACTGAGCATTTTAGTGGGGCTTTTTTGGAGCTTTATCTAATAGCGGATTGAATTAGCTTTAGCTAAAAGTACAAAAAAGCCCTGCTGAAGTGGCTGATCTGTACAGATGCTGCGGAGCTGGGTCGAAGTAATGCGCTGCTGCTTCCAGTAAAGTGTGTCTTTTTCCCTGCCACATCTGTCAGTGCCCCTTGAAGGCCAAATGATATGACTATGCTGACCAGATCTAATCTGTGGGCTGCATGCTGCATTATAGGAATTTAAATATATTAGACTAACACTTTTACCTTTGTCAATCAAAGTGTATCAACTCACCTAAAATCTCATTTACCGTACAATCCCAGGGTTGGAAAACAGCCTTGAGGGTCATCTAGTTCAATCTCCTGCACTCTCTGCAAGGCAAAAAATAAGAAAGATGTCAATATCTGGATCTGAACTCTTTAATTCAGTCTCCTCTTTACTAAAAAGCAAAAGATGTATGAAATGGAAACCAGCACAGCTGCTGAGGACAGTCAGACACCATCTCAGCAGCCTCACTACACTAAAGACTTAGTGGCAACAGCAAGGTCACCAGTGCAAAACAGCAGCGGAGTTTGTCAAGCACACTGTATGCTGTATTGAGCAAAAAACTTTGCACCTCAGGGTGATTATCCAAAGGAAGAAAACTAATAGAAAAGGGCACAGTATGGTAAGGCAAAACATTAACCATAATAACACCTTTTGATTTATTTAGAAGCTTTTTTTTTTTTAGAAAATCTCTCTATGAAGGAAAAAAAGATTTTTGTAAAAGAGAGAGAGAGAAAGGTTTTCTTATGGTAGAAGCCTGACATGTTCTCTTTCCATGATAATGTGTTTGACCAAAATTCCAGTACTCGAGGCTTAAACTGCACTCCCTGAACTCCCCCTCCTTTTTTATTAATATTGAAATGACTTGCAGAAATTTCCCAGTAACCAGTTTGCAGTAAAGTATAAAGGCAGTATCCCTGCCCTGAAAGGCTTACAGCAAGTACCACCTGTGACTTCAGTCCTGCAAGATAATCCACGCAAAAAATCCATACACCTGAATAGATTCAGGCCTATGCACTAGTAATTAACTTCCCAGTTTATTGTTTCCTCCTTTCCCTCTTGTTTGTTATCTTTCCTTCTTATGCCAAATTGCTGTGTACTGCTGGAGTGTATTGGCAAGCCATGTGCATTTCATGCAGAGTAGATGATGAAGACTATTTTGGTTTCTTTCAGGATGAAAGGTGAGGTCTCTAGTTCATAAACGGAATATCTTAATTACATCATGGTATCTCACATGGTATCTACAACTGGCTCTTAAATTATCGATCAAAAGTTTATCAGTATTCAAAGTGACACAGCACAAGGTCTAAATGCCCAAAGCTGAAGTTAGACAAGTTCAATGAGAAAAAAGGCACCTATTTTTCCCAAGAGAATAATCAACCATTGGAACAATTTACTTATGGGCCTAGTGGATTCTCCATCACCTAAAATAATTTAATAAATAAAGGTTAAATGTTTTTTTCATACCCCCTCCCTTCCCACCCTTCCCCCCCAAAACCAACAACTAAAAAAATAGATCAGGAAAGACTTCCAGGTTTTGTGCACAAACCCCTTGGTGATATTGTAGGTCTACATTACTTTGGGAGTATGCTCTTTATATTTTTTTAACTCTATGACTCTAACACTAGATGACTAAAGTTCATGGTTTAAAAGCTATGAATACTATACGTAATCCCTTTAAAGAATCTAGCTCCAAGAGCATCTATTTCCAAGTCATCTATTTTGGCCATATGTATCAGTAGAAATAACTAGTTGGAGATGGTAATGTTTTATTGAAAGCGGGGAATTACTATCTGGGCTGAAGTTTGTTTCTAAACAGCTTGCTATATTCTTTGGATGTCTGTGTTCTTTGGAAACATCCAAGTTGTTCTCTGTGACACATAGTATTTGCTGAAAGTTTACGGTAGATTGACTCATGCAGCTTTATATTGTGCTCCATTTAAAATACTATTTTTTTGGTTAAGCGGTAGCTGTTTCAGTGGTTACCTTTTGGTTTGATGGTTTGTTTTTACAGGGCAGAGAAAGTTTACCCAAATTACAAGCAGCTGCCAGTCTTGCCGGAGGAAAAAAATGTCATCTTGACATTGATTTCTTTTGGGAATGAATCATGCAACCATATAACTTCTAGCAGGGTCCTCTGTCTAGATTCATGATCTTTTGTTTCTGTTAATTCAGGTTTGTCACTTGAAACAATGTGTGATGTCTGGTCTTAAGTGTATTTATAGTTTACCTCATGTTTACTAACAATTCAGCCCTATGTGTCACTCATGCCTGGCATATGCATCATACATAGTTCCATTTCAGTATAGAAACCTATAATTTCATTTTATATTTTATCCATATGCATCATTTTTGTGGCTGTACTTTATTCTTAATGGGGCATTATAAAAATGCCTGCTTAATGATGGAAACCATAATGTGTACCAAGTATAGAATAGTAATGGATACTGTAAACTACAGTTTTTAATGTGTATTTATGGTTTAGATCATTGACTGTCTGCACAAGAGTTTTAAAGCAATCCATCAGCTTGGTTTTTTTTAAAGCATGACATTCCTTTAGAGATTTCCCTTTAGCTCAGCTAATCCCAAGAAAATCAAAAAGCCAGATTTTTATCACCACAAATGGAAATTCTAAGTAATGAATAGCATTTAATAGATTTCCTAGGGGCAGATCTGGCTGTCTTGCATGACTTACTCAAGTAGATATCCTCCCGTAAGGGCTGCAGAATCACGCCAGCAGCGAATTCAAAGTAACAGCTGTTTCTAATCTGTTTTTAATTCTTTGCCATAGAGTAATAGATAGATAGCATCTTCTCATTTTTCCTCTTTTATTGGATTATTCTTCATTTCCTCACTTTGTGGGTTTTTGTTGGGTTTTTTGCTTTTAAGTGCAAGGTGCTGTACAGATATCTCTGAAGGTACTTTGCACTCACAATGGTAGTTTATACTTTCAGCCACTAAAGCTCATCATTTGCCCCTTATTTCTTAGGTCTCCAATATCTGAATCGATCCTCACTGCCCCCAGTGCCACAAAACAGACAGACATGGCCATCCCCATGAATGCATCCATGGTCGTGACATCAGAAAGAGTCAGCTCAGTGTGATACTGAGGGCGCACAGACAACTACACATGGGGAAAGACTTGAGGTTACTTACTCATTCCACTGCAGTGGGTCCTCCATAAAAAGGAACACATATCTGTGAATTGCTTTTGGTGCTAATGGACATTTATTCATTTCCAGATGGGTAAACTAATGGAATATAAAGAAATTGTTGTCACAGAGGAGACCGATTCTAGGATGCCAATCTAAATTCATCTTCAGTGTTCATCTGTACCCTAGTGAAATTGGCTTACCACTTTTGTGAGCAGGCACCATGCCATCCTACCACATGAGTATTAGAGTGGGTAGCCAAGCAATCATGCACATGCACTGACTGCGGGCAATGAGGGCAAGCTTCCAAGCCCAGGAATGTGGACACCACTGCATGTCTTGAGCCTCTGCACATATTTGGTAGTTAATGGGCCGTGTCAAAAGCACAGAGCTGGATTCACTTCAAAGAGCTGACAGACTGCCTCCACCACTGTGCAAGGCAAGCTTTTGTATCAGAGGGACAAGGACACATGTTACACAAGAATAGAAGAGGAGAAGGGCAATCAGAGATGTTACAGTGATGCTTACATTTTTGGGGCTCTATTAGACCTTGTATCTTGGCATCATCCTTTTCCTAGTTCGTTTGCATTTAAGAGGAAAATATTCCAGGTATGTGATGGTGCACTAGGTATGCTTTTTACTGAACAAACCATAATATGCAGGGAAGTGGTTAATATTCGAAATGGCCTATCAGCAAGAAAATTTCAGATCCAAATTTAGGTCTCATCTATGCAGCTCATGCCCACCACTGATTACCAGGGATCCTGGTTTGTTCTGATTTTAAAAATCCCCAATATTTTATTTAAAAAAAGTAACCCCAAATCCACATTTTTCTGTGATTAAAATGAAACATCATAGTGATGTGTGATCTGTGTCAACCTGGCAGAAGGTAGCCAGTGGGGTTTGGAACCTGGACCAGTGCTTTTCAACATCTTCATCAATGATCTGGATGTGGGGTTGAAAAGCACACTGGCAAACTTTGCTGATGATACTAAGCTGTGGGGAAGTGTGGCCACATATCAGGGTAGGCAGACATAGACAGATTAGTTAGATGGGCAGACCAGAACCAGATGCTATTTAACACTCAGAAGTGTAAAGTGCTCCATCTGGGGAGGAAAAACCTGCAACAAATTTAGCGGCTCAGTGGTGCTATGCTAGCTAGCACCATGTCTGAAAAGGATCTGTGGGTCATAATTGACCATAAAATAAGTACGAGCCACCAGTGTGATGCTACAGTTAGCAGAGCAAACAATACGCTGGCATGCATCAACCGATGCATCTCAAGCAAAACTAAGGAAGTTATTTTCCTGCTTTACTCAGCATTGTTGAGGCCACAGCTGGAGAACCTTGTCCAGTTCTGGGTGCCACACTTCAAGAAGGATGTGGAAAAGCTTGAGAGAGTCCAGAGAAGAACCACTTGTATGATTAGAAGCCTGAAGAGCATGTCATACGAGGAAAACCTGACAGATATGGGACTGTTCAGCCTAGAAAAGCAAAGACTTTGGGGGAATTTGTTGGCAGTTTACAAATATATCAGGGGTTAGGCGAACAACTATTTATCAAAGTGCACCGGGGGAAACCAGGAACAATGGTCATAAACTCCTAGAAGGTTTCAGACTGGATATGAGGAAAAACTTCTTTATGGTTCATGTGACCAGACTTTGGAATAGACTCCCAGCAGGGGTAGCATAGGCACCTACCCTGGAGATCTTCAAAAGGAGATGGGATGCACACCCTGCTGTGGTTATGTGACCCCAGCAGTCTTTCCTGCCTAGAGCAGAGGGACTGGCCCCATTGATATCACAAGGTCCCTTCCACCCCTAACCTTATGTGTGAATCTATGAATTCCTGCTTCAAAACCAATAGTCTAGCAGGCATTTCTATTCAGGCAGCTGAAGGAGTCAGTTATCTTAATGAGTCAGTGTTCTTCACTACATAGGTATTAACAATCATCTCTTCTTTTTAATTGCCTATATTTTCCACTAATCAAACCAATCTTTCTCCTGAAAATGTTGCTGTCTGCTAACTGCTTCTGGTCCCTTCTTCTATTTCAGAGCTTTGCAGAGTTTCCAGCTCTTTTCAAAATCATAGATCTATCCACAGAACCTGGTCTTTAGCAACAGCTAGGTTTTCAACTTTTAATTAAGCAGGAAGGGAGAGTGAGTGA